AAAAATAATCGTTCAAATTGGTTCATAATCGGCGGAGATATTGCGTATAAAAAAGTTCATCCCCAATTTTCCACCCTTGGGGGTTGTTTTTTTTATTATTAAATTTAAATGGGACCACCCTTGAGGTATTACCTATACGCTGAAAAAAGATTTGTTCAAATCGGTTCATAATTGGCGGAGTTATCGCGTAACAAACATAGAAAAAAAAAAAACGTACGGGTCGAATTGAGAACCTCCTCCTTTTTTTGAAGTAAGTTGAAAACTGTATGTAGTTCTCCGCTAACTGATAACGTACCTACACACTCGCCCTCTAGTTCAAATGACGCAAAAATACACGGACGTAATCGTTTACTTTGTTCTTTTTGTTAAGTATTTGGTCATCAAATAGAAAATTGTCGTATATGTGAGCGAAATAAGCCCTTTCCTCGACCAATCGGCGCGAGGCATTCCACTACCTTAACCAAGTTAGTTTCGCTCGTAGTGTGTTCTGCGCTTTAAACGTAAACGTTTAATCCATATTTACAAAGTTCATATTTGAACTAACCTTTGGCAATTAACGTTCTACCCAACTATTAACTGCTCGTAGTTCTGAAATTTTAATTAGAATAAATAACTTTTTCAACTGCCCCGATCAATTTATTAGCAAATAGGGTAAGTTATCCTCTGTTAGGGCAACTATATCGAACTCTAAGCTCTATGGATTAGTCAAAACCGATGATTAAACTAAAATCCGCCAATTTCAATGGCTTAATGAAATAACCGGAACTAACTTTGTTTATTTTAGGATCCAATCCGAATTTGTCTTTTCAACGCCAAGTTAGTTATAACGATTCTACAGTATAATTTAGTACGATTGGTAGAGTAAACTTTAGCATATTAGATTATTTAAATGCTAATAGAATTTGTGAAACCTTACAATCTTCATGTGAGTCGTTGATGAATGACATCAGTAATTTAAGTAAACCTATAATTGATTGCGAATGATGATGTATTTTGTTACATATCGAATATTAAGATGACTTAAATTCTTTCAAACAATACAGTTTGCTAAATAAAATAAAAACAATACACAGTCACAAAGTGGCTTTCCTACTAACACTAACTGCAACTGGGAATCGAACAAGCAATCAAGTCATTCATGTTTTTTTACAAACCGGTATCTTTCATTTCTTCTCCTCAAGTTTCTACAAAAATCTTTCGAAAAAATCTCCTAAGAACTTTGGTGTCAGTGCAGCGCTGCATAATGCAACAGACGTAGCTACGAGGCTGGAATACAGATCATCTCAGATTCTAGAATAGTCCTAACAATGTGGTAGACGCCTGCCTCTTGATAAGAGCCACATCAGTATTTTTTTGAATTTTCTTTACTTTTTATTTTTTAATTAATAAAAGTTTAAAAAGATACTCTGAAAGAAACTTAATTTAAATTGAATGTTAGGTGGATAACTTATTAAAACAGTGTCTTACAAATCGGACCGATTTTTCGTAAAAAACAAATTAAAAAAAATCTAATCAAACTGGGTTTAAATAAGTGTTCTAAGTAATTACTCTACTTACGTGTGTCCTACTTGAGAATCAAACTAGTCTCACTTACCACCGGATTACTTCACCAGGCAGAGCAACTTGCTTACAAACCCACGCGTCACGAATGTGTTGTTTGCAGTTCTCGTGAGATCCCTTGAGATTTGTTCCATTTAACTTGGACAATCTTAAAAGGCTTTGTTTACATGATGCATCCCAAATCAGAACAAACTTATGTTGCGTTGCGAATTCCTTTCTATTTAAAAATGCTGAAATCATTGCAGTTTAATATTATTTTGTGAAAACTTCGGTAAGGTTGTTAAGTGTAGAAATCTATTCATTTTCATCGTTTTTGTGCGCAACTGCTGGCACTAATGGAGAGTGATAGAATCTTACTACAACTACATCGTAAATAGGTAGTTCTCTTACCGCTTCAGAGCTCAATATTATAGTTGGCGCCATAGTGTTCTGTTTTTGGGCATGTTGTTGCGACACTAGCCCCGCCCCTTTTTCACATCTCCCTTTAGTCTTTGTGATCTATGGTTGGCGCCTATTGGCGCAGTGACCCACTATATCTTCGTGTTGTATTCGTTCGTTCGTTCGTTTCAGCCGAAAGACGTCCACTGCTGGACAAAGAGGCCTCCCCCAAGGATTTTCACAAAGACCGATCCTGTGCCGCTCGCATCCAAGAACCTCCAGGTTGTGTAGTTATTGTTTATAAATTGTGCTCACTGTGTTCAATAAAGTTCATTCTATTCTATTGACTGGCACATTGTCGTATCCACTAGCGAGTGATAGGACTAGAGTCCTTTCTAGAGTCGAAATACCTATCCCACCAATAAAGTAAACAACAAATAGAGATTTCCTCCACATTTTCAAAAGAACCCACGCTAGGGAGCACTATTAATTTTCCTGCGGCACCACACTTACGCGGAATACAAGAATTTCGGTGTGGCACTACAATTTTGTATTCAATTTGCACTTTCGTGGAAGTGGGAAGTACAGTACGGTTGCATAGGGCGAACAAAGGCGATGCGACATGCATGGAGATGTTACGTGCCTCGGATGTAGAGGGTCTGATCCCGGGATCCTGGTCGTAAACTAACTTTCAGAGTCAGTGTGGCACTAGGAAGACTAAGGCCCAGAACACGGTGAAACGCAACTGCAACGAAACTGGTCAAACCGGTCGCATCATGGTATGGTCTCAACGGAATCTATGACAGAAACTTAAATACCTTAAATACAACTCAAAAGTAACTAGAAGTAACAGTTTCGTTGCAATTGGAGATGGGTTTCCACCCGGGTAAAAACCCACATGAGGGTAAAAACCCAATAAAAACCCGGTTCATTCCACCCGTGGGTGTTTACACCGGGTGAAAACAAATAATTTTGTAATTATTTCAATTGGTATCTTTTCTTTATTTTTATTGAATTTTTCTCATTTAAGTTTATTGATTAATAAGTTATAAGTCAAATTTAACACTAATATGCATTTATATCGTTGCCAAATCGTAAAATTGATCACGTTATGATGATGTGACCAATTATTTTATAAAATGGTGTTATTTCAAGAATCGTTGAACCGATTTGGAAGAAATTTAATAGGAACACAATAATTTGTGATCATGGCAAGGACATGGAGGGGGAGAGGGGGTATGCCAAAGATGCCAAACTCTCTCTTTGATGACATTACGGTATAAAGTTACAAATAACAACACCCACTACAAAGTACTTCTGCTTAAAAACTTGAAATCGAACCGCCCGTCCGCCACTGTAACGCATTGTAACGTTTTTCAAGACCTCCTCTCCCCCCAGATTGCATTACGTAACACTAGAACGCCCCCTTAGCAACAAATACCATTTCTCACTTTAAAAAAACGCTATTTTTGTTTTCACCCACCAGAATGGGTGATAATGGGTAAAAACTGGTTTTTTACCCAAATCACCCAGTTTTAACCCAATCGGGTGAAATGGGTTTTTACCCACTACCCATCGCTAGTTGCAATTGCGTTTTACCGTGTGTTCTGGGCCTAACGCCCGTATTACACATTACTATGAGGTCTTACAGTCCGCGTGGACGCACTGGGTGACACACGAACCAATCACAGAGCTCTATTCAACGCTGTGCGTTCAATTTACTGCTTCACTTAAGCAATTATCGCTTGTGTATACGGGCGTAAGAGAAAATGAGATTTTGTGTGAGTCTTGAATTGATGATGGCGTCACCTTACTTGTTCAACCCACGTGACACTGTTGCATTTTAACGTACAGTCTGGGGCAAATAGTATCCGATACCCAAAGTGACCACCATGTAGTGACGGCAGAGTAGAATAAATTTGTAACTCTTCCCGCAGGTGTCGTATGAGACGACTTATGCCCGTTTTCACCATCAATCCCTAATTTTTAAGTGATCCCTATGTTAACAAATATCAGGAATTTTGTTTACATCGGGGCTACTTATAAATTAGGGATTGATGGTGAAAAAGGGCATTAAACTCTGATTTTTAATTCGACGGAATTTTGACATTTCAGAAGTGTTTCCAACATTGAAACATTCCCACTAAGGATGGAAAGCATTTTCACAAATTTAAAAATAAACCTCTCTTGAATTTAAGGTTTCATTTAAAAAACTAAGGCTTAAAAATGTTTCCAAATGGTTATTTGAATTTTTATTATCATAATTTAGAAGTTACAAAAAAAATTGGGAAATTAATTTTCTATTACTGGACTCCCTGGCCAATAATCCATGGGTTACAAACCTTTTTTATGAAAATCCTTTTGTTAATAAAATCTTAGCTTCATAAAATAATCAATTACCAAGATGCCAATTTTATAATCCAAGTTGATTATGATGACGATAATGATGATTGATGATCAAAATCAAATCAAATCAATCGGTTTTACTGCGTTAAAAACACGTTTTTTTCTATTTAATCTCTAAAATGTAACTACATAATAATTAATGTACATTGAATTCACGAAACAAACAATAGTATCATTCTTGTAAGTTGTAGTTGATGAAATTTCATTTCATATTATTTAATAATTCAAAGCAAAAAAGGCTTATTAAATCTGAATTGTCAAAAAATGACAGCTGTCAGAGTTCCGTCGAATTAAAAATCGGACTATAGGGCCTACACATCAGACAGAGAACGGACAGCAGCGCTCTCTGACAAACATCAATCTTTTTAACTGCGATCTCCTACCCGCCTGCCAAGCGTGGGGATTGTGGCAAACCCTACACTATAGTGGAGGAGGCTCATAGTCCAGCAGTGGACTATACCTAAAGGGCTGTTGATGATGATGACCCAAAGTGACCTAAAGTTTGATAACGCAACCTTATTCCGACGTATTTGCGATCTTATTGACTACTTTGTGTGTCACGCATTATTTTTAGTTACATGGATGCAATCTTGATGGATATTATAAATTACATAGATGAATACTAGGCACTCTCTATATTGCAAAGCATACCAAAATAACAATTAAGTACTACAAATAAAAAGTAAACGGCACAAATTGGGCGGTCCTATCCCAAGCGAAATCTCTTCCAGATTACCGGAACACGGCAAAGAACGAATAAGCAGCACGTATAACCTGTGAAAAGAAAAATATTTCTTGAAATAAAACTTACTATAGATAGTTCTGGCGCTTAACTCAGGGGCCGGTATTTTAAATCGTAGTTAAAATAACTAATTGTTAAATTTTGCTACTAATGGTTAAATATTAACTAAATGTGAACAATTAGTTAAAAAATGTACTAAAAATCAAGCTAACCATTGTTCTAAAAACATTCTTACTTGTCATTTGACATCTGTCAAATTTGACTATTGGTTATTTTAACTACGATTCAAAAAACCGGGCCTAATGCCTGAGGTAATGGTCGCGGCCCGTGAGGTTGGTTTTGTGGCGGTCAAACGTAAGTGAGACTCTTAATATGCCCTCTCACGTGTCGTCATAAATGTTTGGAATGCTTAACTACCTAGCTCGCATCAATACATATTTGTATAATTTAAAGACTGTAAACCCTTGAAAAGGAGGCTGACAATAGTGTCTAAGTTTCACCGTAAAATTAATCCATGTAAAATCTCACCGAAATAAAGTTGCTATAAGACAACGTGATAACGCCAAAAGCAGTCATGTAGATAGGTTTCTGGCTGCACTGGAGAGCCACTACGATCAGGGTACGCAACCCAGGTCTCCAGGGGACCAGCTCCCAACCGCAATAAAACATTGACATTGGCAGTTTGGAAATCTGAATAAAGAAAAAGAAGAAGATTGTCAAAACCATTGTGGAATTCTTAGAGGAATTAATATGCAAACTGATGTCTCTCATTTCTTTCAAATAAGATATTATTCATATAATATTATCAGAAACTAGCTGTATCCCGCGATAAAACGTAGCCAATGTGTTAAATCCATGGTGTCAGTTAACTCCTTACCAAATTTTGTTAAAATTGCTCCAGCCGTTTAAACGTGAAGAAGTAACAAACATAAACACTCACAAACTTTCGCCTTTTTATTATTAGTGTGATAGCGACAACGAAAACTCAGTTTACACCTACTTCATATGTGATGTCCCCTGCAACCATCATATAAGCCCCATTGATCACCATCACGCAGCCAATGTACATTAAGTTCGCGATCAGAAACGTCAAGTTCCTTTCTGCACTCTGTATCAATAAAAGAATACGTTTTAAAATGGTTGAGGAATAAGAAGAAACAGTCTGTATGAATTAATTAATTTTTCAACTTTCGCGTTGCGTAATTTAATTATTCAATAAAAATAGATTTTAACGCGATACGCGGATAGTTAATAACGAAATATTACTTTTAATTGCCTAAAGTTTCGACCGGGTTTCGACCGGACCTTACGTTACGCAATAATTCCAATACCTGCAGATGACAGCATACCAAGCTAACATTGTAGGTAGCACCTTAAACGAATTCCTTATTTTCACCCAATAAACAGTGGAAAACTTAGTTTATTATTATATACTAGCGGCCGCCCGCGACTTCGTACGCGTGGAGCCCGTTTTATTCCCTTCATATATCTTACGCGGTTTAGATTTTTTCATACAAATGTTTTTTCCCGCTAACTCCCGTTCCCGTGGGAATTTTGCAATATCCTGTTGTAACTAAACTTAAAGTTTACTAAGGTACCTGCATGCCAAAATTCAAGCGTTTAACTTAAGCGGTTTAGATTTTTCATACAAAAGGATTTTCCCGCTAAGTCCCGTTACCGTGGGAATTTCGGGAATTCCTTGTTATAACTAAGCTTTAAGTTTACTAAGGTACCTGCATACCAAATTTCAAGCGTCTAACTTAAGCGGTTTAGATTTTTCATACAAAAGGATTTTCCCGCTAATTCCCATTCCCGTGGGAATTCCTAAGTATACTATAACATGCCCAGGGGTATGAAGAATAATTGTACCAAGTTTCGTTAAAATCCGCCGAGTAGTTTTTGTTTCTATAAGGAACATACAGACATACAGACAGACAGACAAAAATTTTACTGATTGCATTTTTAGCATTAGTATCGATCATTAATCACCCCCTTATAGTTATTTTGAAAATGTATTTCATGTACAGAATTGACCTCTCTACAGATTTATTATAAGTATAGATTTAAATAATGTTCACACTTACAACTAATTTGACGAGACAGAACACGAGAAGTGATGTTGTTTCAACAACTGCCACTCCGTAAATGTTTCCTAAAGAATATTGGACGTTTCGGGCACACCTATAACAATGTTTACATGATTAACATTGCAATTGAGTAGTGGTGAGTAAACACGAGATAAATAATCAAGAAAAAATGCGAAAGTCATAGCCAAGCATCATAAGTTACTTTTCAGCATAGTACCTACATCATAGTGCATTTGAATGTCCGTAGGTATGGAGAATTTAAAAGATTCTGGAAAGGTGTCACAAAACACATCTGCGTCACATTATCGCTGTAGTATGATGGCACAATAAAGCATTCAGCAAAAACTACATCCAATAATTCAGAAAAATAAAAGTAAGTTTTACCATAGTGTATCTTCATGCAGCTTTATCCCATTTATGAAGTCTTTTTCAAACTCCTGGCCCAAGGTTTCCTTACTCATACTTTTAGAGTTCTTAATAGTTTTTTCTCTCAAGCTATCAAAATACTTGCACACAAGTTTACATTTTGAACCGAGGTAGACAAGGGAGAAAATAGAGAGCCCATCCACCAAGATCATATTGGTGACTATGACCCACCAGTGACATTCTTTTAAGACGTATAGAAACCCAGAGAAGATTCCAGAATACGATGGACTTGGAAAAAGATGGACTTCTGTGCGGAATGGGATCCCTGAAAAGCAAAAAAAATGAGTACCAACCTTTTCTTTAACAACGCATGTCACCACAGCATGTTAAACATACGAATAATCTCATGACATGAAAAAGAGGTAAGAGGCACATTGAATATCAGACCCAAGCTCGAGAGATGTCGACTGATGAAGTCTACGCTCCGTCCAGCGCCCATCCAACTCCAAAACCCCAAAAGCTTTCAGCTCGAGTTGCAAAATCGTTTCGAATGCCTAGGAGACTGCGAAAATGTGGACGAATACAATGACAGGTTCGTGGAAATGGTCCAAACGACTGGGTCTAAGTTCTTTAAAGCCTGTCGTTCAAAAGGAACCAAAAAGATCTCTGACCTCACCAATCAACTCATGGAAGAGAGACGGAACTTGGTTCTGCAGTCCTCTGAAGATGCTACTCAGTATCGGTGCCTTAACTGACAGATCTCCAAGTCTTTGACTCGCGACCTACGTCAATTTAATACAGACCGTATTAAAGAGGCGATTGAGCGAAACAAGGGCTCTAAAGTGTTCGCAAGAGATTTGTCTGTTGGGCAAAGTCAACTGACCAAGCTGAAGACAGAGAATGGCAGAGCCATTTCGTCGGGGCCGGAGATATTGGAAGAGGTCGAGAAGTTCTACGGACAATTATACACGAGTGTACGCGCACCTGTCACAAGTCTAGCCGAAGACCCAAGAGCTAGACTGACCCGACACTATACCGAAGATATCCCGGACGTCAGTCTGTACGAGATTAGAATGGCTCTCAAACAGCTGAAGAACAACAAGGAACCGGGTGATGATGGAATTACGGCTGAGCTTTTGAAGGCAGGCGGAACGCCGGTACTAAGGGCTCTTCAGAAGCTATTCAATTCCGTCATCCTCGAAGGAAAAACGCCTACGACATGGCACAGAAGTGTGGTGGTACTCTTCTTCAAAAAAGGTGACAAAACCTTGTTGAAGAATTATAGACCCATCTCACTTCTGAACCATGTCTACAAGCTGTTTTCAAGAGTCATTACGAATCGTCTTGCTCGCAGGTTCGACGACTTCCAGCCTCCCGAACAAGCCAGTTTCCGAAAAGACTTTAGTACCATAGACCACATACATACGCTAAGGCAGATTATACAGAAGACCGAGGAGTATAATCAACCACTTTGCCTGGCGTTTGTGGATTATGAGAAAGCCTTCGATTCGGTCGAGACCTGGGCAGTGCTAGTCTCTCCAAAGGTGCCAAATTGACTATCGATATATCGAAGTGTTGAGGGGTTTGTACAAAAACGCCACAATGTCGGTCCGCCTCCAGGATCGGGACTCGAAACCTATCCAGTTGCAACGAGGGGTAAGACAGGGAGACGTCATATCTCCAAAACTGTTTACCACCGCCCTGGAAGATGTCTTCAAGCTTCTGGACTGGAACGGATTTGGCATAAATATCAACGGCGAGTACATTACCCACCTTCGATTCGCGGACAATATCGTAGTCATGGCTGAGACCTTGAAGGATCTAGGCATAATGCTCGATGGCCTCAGTAGAGCCTCTCAACAAGTGGGCCTCAGAATGAACATGGACAAGACAAAAATCATGTCTAATGTCCGTGTTGCACCCACTCCTCTGAAGGTTGGAGACTCTACACTCGAAGTTGTTGACAATTATGTATACCTGGGACAAACAGTCCAGTTAGGTAGATCCAACTTCGAGAAAGAGGTCAGTCGTCGAATCCAACTCGGATGGGCAGCGTTCGGGAAGCTTCGCCATATACTCACGTCCGAAATACCGCAGTGGCTCAAGTCGAAAGTATTCGACCAATGTGTGTTGCCAGTGATGGTATATGGAGCTGAGACGTGGTCGCTTACTATGGGCCTCATAAGAAGGCTCAAGGTCACCCAAAGGGCGATGAAGCGGGCTATGCNAGCCTTAATTAGGTACTGCGAGGAGAGAAATTATTTAAAAGCTTTTTAATTAATCTTCGCCTGTAGGTAAACAAGGCGCTTTGTCTATTAATTGTTAGGTTAGCCGCAGGTGGACAAATTAATAACCTTTAATTTACGAAATTAATCATTTAAGCCAATCGTTGATGCGGAATTACTGCCGGTACGACATCTTTCGTTTCTTCAGCTATGATTCATAAAATAATTAGTAAGCTTTTACTGAAACATTTAAAACTTTGACTACTAAGTAATTAAGGGTTTGTGACCTTCAGGTTACCTTTATTGGTATCAAAGATAAACAATCGATGACCTCAAAACAAATAGTTTTTCTAGTATATGCAAAATGTGTTTCATTTTATCAAGAAACGCGAAAGAGTCAACGCACTTTTCAAACATCTTGGTAACATCAAAAAGAAAATAAACACATGGAAATTCAGATGACGTATAAACTCAAATCCTTACGTCGAGAAAGGCATGGCTCGGCTTAGTCGATTGTATGTGTAAGGCCTTATTTAAACAATTCTGTCAGTGGGTTTGTGACACTTAAATCCGGGAATGACTTAATTTCCTACGAACCTTTGGCGAAAACGCAAATATAAATTGAATTTGTTGACTCTTCCGCTCCCGTGAATATTTCACTCGGATATTTTACTTCAAGGAGTTTAGGAATGAGGTTAAAAAGAAAAAGGTGAAGGCAAGATCCCAATTTCTTATTTACTAAAGTTGAATCATTCAAATGTAGGACTTCTCAAAGGGACACTTTCTATAGTGTACTACTCAGAAAGCCAATCAATAAGAGTTTCCTGTTCTATTACTTTTAATGTGAATATTATAAAGCGTTATTAGGATATCATAGAGAAATACAAACGTAGATAAGTAACGTTACTTCTAATTAAAACCATACCTCTTTTCTTACTTAAAGCACACCTTTCTTCTTCCAAAAAACAACATTTTCAAACTTTTTAAGGGTTACTTACTTAACATTGCACTTTCAGTAAACAAGAACGAAACTTCTGATGTCTGATTGTTTCACGCGAAGTAAATAAAGTACAACCACGGGGCGAACGATTGCCGACTAACTTTCGGTGAAATTGGTTCGAATAGTTTTACTACCACGCTACAATATGTTTCGCGGGTAAGTTCGGAATGCTATCTTACGGTTGGTAGTAAACTTTAAGCACTTTGTACATTAAAACAAGTTTACTGTGTGCTGGAATTTTGAGTAGGTATCATCGGGAGTAAGTAACCTTCTCAACGTTAAGCATTATTCTTATGCTTTGTTTTTATAGCGCGCCTGAAAATTTAGAATTAATGTTTTTGTAGTAAATTAAATAAGTTTAAGTATCTCTGTATCATTTTTGATACCTCTTTTACCAAAGTGAAGGTAAGCATCAGTAACATAAGATTGTTAGTCACTTTTTGTGAAGCATTTATCTAAAAGATAACTCTATAAATAATTACAGTATATTTTCTATAATAATGAATATACATACACAGTATAATTACGATATGAAGAGAGACGAGTGGAAACAGCATTAACGTAACATAACAATCTTTTGAGTGAATCTCAGAAAAACTAAGTAAGATTTACTTCTGAGGAGCAATTCGGTGAGATGTGAAAAATTTCCGCTAATACAGAACTTCGTATGAATTATTACAGCCATGGAACTCACCAGTTCAAATCCCCCATTTTATCTGGCTCTTGAGGTTTGCCTGACAAACGAGATACGCGGCTTTTCCGCAAAAGATAGAATCTCACCACATCTTTTTGTCTTATGCCCACTGAAATGTCTTTGCGAGGATCCGTTAGCTACGGCGTATTACCACCCATTAAATATTCGTTCATATTCCAACTTTGCTAGTTCTTTTGTTCGTCGGTAACAGTCTTATCTTTTATCACATTAATTACTTGTTGGTAGAAGTAAAATTTAATATGTTTTTCCAATTACACGCGTGCTAATTAAGAAAACTATCACAATCCGCACCTGCAGCCACTGGCAGAATATTGACACCATTTTCATAAATCTACGAGTATCATTGATGACAACATATGTCACTAAGCTCGCTAATATTTTTATCAAATTTGCTGAGGTTTCTAATGATTTTGAGAGATATATACCATAATATTTTTTTAATACCTATCTTATCATAATATGTATGTACCTACTCGTAGTAGAGTTAAAATTTTGAAACTCACTATCAGCCTACAAATAAATCCTTGAAGTTTCCTAGAAACTACTTTGCCTACCTACTTAGTTTGTTCTGATGTTGTATTTCATCATGAACGCAGCCACCAACACTAATCCACTGTCTCTGGGTTCACAGAAGACCGTGGAATCCTAAGTTGTTTACCAAATTGTTCCGGAAAACTTCCACCTCGGAATGTTCCAACTTAGGAGTTACAATTTGTTTGGATTATACAATGCAACTGAAACTCCAGGTCTACACGGATTTTCATTGACGACCACTTTTTCTATTCCTCCAAAACACAGAATATGAACGAGTGTAAAAAGCACATTTTACAGCTTATTTTTGGGTTCATTATTTTATCTTAAGGAAATAATCTTGTATGTAGGGTAAAATCTATGTTTTATTTTATGTCGATTTAAGATGTAGTTTCATTTCGAATAGTTTTCAAACTTTGTGAATGTACTCGTATATCCTGAAAACAAGACTGCAAATAAAACATTTGTTGTGATAACCTATTTTATCGATATCAAATCCATCCTACACAAGCAAACAAACTTTTAGATCAGTATTACGGAACCGGCCTTGGATTTAATTAAATGTTTCATATATGTAGATCAAAATTCATTCGGGTAGGGACGGGTTCTATGTTTCGATATTAACAATATCGGCAAACTAAGCTTTTAAACAATATAAGCAAATTACTAGGGTATGCTGAAATGTGGCATAACGTAGTTAAATAAGTCAGTAGGGTCACACACAATAATATTATGTAACACTTTACATTCTGAAACGCCAGAAGGAGGGTTATGTTTTTATGTGTTACGTAAATACGTATGTATTTTCTTTATGAATCGATTACTAAGTTCAATCCTTATTTCTTTGACTTAGGGGCAGACCTTCGACATTATAAAATAACGTAACTCAAAACAGCTTCTAGTAACTGATAGTTAAAATTACGTAAACTCTTTACACCGAGCGAAAAATAAACAGAAGTTCTACTGTTCATAATTATTCTACTTGATACTCGTATTTACGTTAACAAATTGCCGTATTGGCCTATAAATTCTACCCTAATATAAATACAAGGTTTTTAATTAAACATTTATAGAGGTGAATTTTATTAAGGCCATGAAATAAGTTTGTTTATGCCACTTGCATTTATTGACGTAAAATATCGTGTTAATACAAATACCGTGGATAAATATTGAAACTCACTTTCAATTAATTAATTCGACAATGCGATATGAAATATCCGGTTCGAATATTTTCCACGTTTCACTGTGTTGTGAGCAGATTCTGAGCTAAATATTAGCTTATAAACGAATATGAATTTAAATATTCTTAATATTAGATCTAAATTACCTTTGTGACTTTTATCTTTATGTCTCAGGCAACCCTATGATGGTTTGAACCGTCGTTTGTTGCGGATTAAAGTAATTAGTTTTGGTGATCATTTTTCATGAAACATTTTATATAG